TGCCTCAGAGAAGACCCACAATAAATGAGAGGCATATGAACGGACGTGCGGGTTCAGTGATGAGTGAAACCAGCGAACGCTAGGATACTAAATATGCGATCTGAACCACGAGGTCCTCAAAGACAGGGCACCTTGTTCCAATGTCGAGTGACATTTATATTAACTCTGTTTTATCTAATCACTGCTCAGGACCAAGGAGCACTATGGAGAACCATTTTTACGGCTTACAATCACTTTTAATAAAATCATAAAACGGTGTTTACTTTGAGTTTCACACTTTACAGGCTCAGTCATGTGACTCAAGAGAGGGAATACACTTTAAGTTTGAATATTAAGAATATTAAGAATATTAAGTTCAGTGGTGTGCCATTGACAGAGTTTTGAAAATGGTTCATGAAAAGAAGAGCAATTATTCGATTAATGGAAATCATTCTATCGGATGGAGGGTCACAAACAGCCCTTCTCTCTTGCCCCAGAAGCTAAAAGTGTCCGTCAGCGTCGGCTCCACTGCTATGCCACAGGGCCAGGTACCGCCGGCTTCTTCCAGCTCAGCCTAGTTACTGACGCCGGCACGCAAGCCTTTTCTCAGAACTGATGGACGCACTACATTAGCCTTTTATACAAGGCTGGCTTGAAACTTGCATGCTCAATTATTCTAAGCAGAAATATCCTTTTTCAGCATTCGGAAAGCAATAGATTTCTAAGTAGCTTACTTTAGACACTACTATAAGTACTTGAAATGGACTCTGTTCTCTGTTAGACACAAATTATAATTTGTCTTCCCCTACTCTCATCAAAGTTGACACTGAAAAATAATATTTGAGATTTTATTTCATATACTTTACTCATATACTTACTTATACACAACAGGCTATTAATTATAGATTAATCGTCTACTAGATTAGGAACTATTTGAAGACAGACAGGGTCTGTTTATCTTCCTCTATCGTATATTGAGCATAAAGAGTATATTGAGCCTAGTGATCAATTTATAAAGGTTTCCGTAAGCCATGCTTTGTTTAGTCATGAGTCTACGAAATGTTCAAGCATAGTTTTTTTTTTTCTATTTACTAAAAATGTATATCCTAGTTCTGCAAGTATGGCTGAGTAAGCGCCTAACAGGCTGACCGCCTACAGATGGCAACTATGAACTCTTAAACTCTGAACAGAATATAAAAACCAATTATCTGAAGCCTGCGGAGAATGATCAAAAAGGCAAGGAGATTCTGGAAGGGAGTCAAGACTCGGAAGAAGGGAATGGCCTAAGCGAATATATTGATTTTAGAGTTTTTAGCCTGAGTAGTGAGTTTGAGGCAGCCATGGCGCTGAAATGTGAGGAAGGTAGACTAGAAAACATGAGTTGGGAAACCCCCAAATCTTGCGGATAAAAATCTGCCAAAATATCTAGCTGACCTCCAGATCACATCTGCCAAAAAATAAATGCAAGGCAAACTAAGACCTGAATCGAGACCTGCACTCCGACCCCACAGACCAGGTCTGCAGTCTGAACACATTCCTCAGAGAAACAGAATGGAGTCCAGAGTCTGCACAACATAACACTCACAATGTCCAGCGTATGACCTGAAATTACCCAACACACAAGAAACTGGAACAATGTGATTCATTATCAAGATAAAGGATTATCGAGTCAGGTCAAATCTAAGGTGTCTAAGATTTCAGAATCAGATAAAAACTTAAAGCATCTATTTTAATTTTGCTCAATGACATAAGATAATACCTTGATTAATAAAAAAAAATAGAAAAATATCAGCAGGGAAAAAATATTTTTTTCCACATACATGTATTTATATATAAATCAAATATTCATTCTGCAACAGTACCTGACATAAAATTTTATCTGATGGGCTTAACAGAAAATAAAGATAACATAAGAAAGAATCCATAAGTTTAAAATATAGTAGAAACTATTCGATCTGAAGAATAAGAGGGAAAACAAAACCAACAACTAATAACAAAAGCGAACAGAGCCACTGAAGCCTTTTGGGGAAAATTAAAAGGCTGAACATATGTGTAACCGAAGTTTCAAAAGATGGGGAGAGAAAATATATCTTAAAAAAAGTATTTGAGGAAGCAATAGCTGAAATATGATGACAAACCCCTTGCGTAAAACACACAAAAAAAATTTTCACAAAAGATGAAATAGAAAATCTGATTAGTGATATATCAATTAAACACACTGAACTCATCATCAAACTCTAAGCCCAGACAGCTTCGCTGGTGAATTCTAACAAATATTGAGGAAGAAATAAAACCAAACTGACATCCATTCTTTGAAAAATAACACAGGAAAGAAACACTGTCTATTCACTTTATAAAACTAGCACATAACACCAACACCAAAAATCTGACAAAGATATTATATTAAAAAAATAATGGGCCAGTATCACTCTTCGACACAGAGGCAGCCAAATCCAAAAATATATTAAAAGGCTAACGCGTCATTACCAAGTAGGGCTTTAACGCATGAATGCAAGGTTGGTTTAATTTAGACAAATCGATCAACAAAATTCACAATTACATTAACAGTTTAAAGGAGTAGCATCCTGTGTTTACGTCAACAGATGCAGAAACAGCCTTTAATTAAAATCCACCACTCAGTCAGGATCAAATCAGCAAAACTGAAACAGAAGGGAACTTCCTCCATCTCATGAAAAGCATCTCCAAAGAATCCGCCGGCTCTTACCTGTCTTAATGTAAAACGCTGAATGCTTTCTGCATCAACTGGTAACAAGGGAAGAATGCCTAATCTCTCCACTTGTGTTATACCAGAGACCCTAACCAATACAATAATCCACACTAAATAAATAAAAAGCATACAAATTGGAAAGGAAGAAGTAAACTGTTTATGCAGATGATATGATTATGCACACAGCATATCCTAAAGAATTATAAATCAGCTCGCTAGAACTAACGATTGAATTTAGCAAGGCAGCAGAATACCAAATTTTATACTAGAAGCAAAATCGGAACACATTTAAATTATTCATTTTACAACAGTGTCAAAAATAGCATATTTAGGAATAAGGTTAACAAAAGACAAAAGTTCAAAGTGCTTTACCCTGAAACTTTTGAAATACTGCTGATAGAAATTAAAAAATCTAAATTGAAAATATACACCATGTTCAAGGAAGGGATGATTCAATATTGTTAAGACGTCAAATCTCCCTAAACTGATCAAAATAGTCTATGCAACTGCAATCATAATCCCTGCAGAATATTTTAGGAAAATTAATAATTCTTAAATGTATATGGAACTGCATAGGACCTATATCCAAAAAAATTCTGAGAAAGACAAAGTTGAAGGGACTACATTACCTAACTTCGTCTTATTATAAAAAGCTACAGTAACGAAGACAGTATGGTGCCAGCATAAGGACCCATAAGTAGATCAATGAAATGAAAGAGAAAGTGCAGAAATAGACCCTCACTTGCAGAGTCACCTGCTTTTCATCACAGGTGCCAGCACCATCAGTGGGAAGAAAATATCTTTCAAAAACTGGTACTGGAAGAACAATATTTTCGTATGGAGAAAAATGAGTTTTGACATTGACACCATACACAAAGATTAATTTGAACTGCATCATAGACCTAAAAGTAAAAAACTATAAATGATAAAAGCGTTTAGAGGAAGCGCAGGAGACCACCTTTATGTTTTAAAAAGGACTCTAACATTTCCTGGAGGCTGGCAAAGATTTTAGTTGGTAAAGGTAATAATCATAAAAAAAAAAAAACTCTGATATATTAGACTTTGTCAAAATTAAAAACTTCTGATTCTCACAGACTCTATTTAAAAAACAGTAGGCAAGCCACAGACCGAGCTAAATATTCGCGAAACATATGTCTAACAAAAGATTTGTGTCCAGGAGATATTAAAACAAAAGCTCTTATAACTTGATGATAAGAAGACATACAGCCCATTTACAAATACGCAAAAGATCTAAAAAAGACACTTCACGACATGATAAATGAATGGCCAATAAGAACATGAAAAAGTACATGAAATCATTAATCATTAGGAAAATGCAAATTAACTTCGCAAGGAAATACCAACACACGAGCAGGAAGGCTAAAATTAAGAGGAAGGACGACACCAAATGCTAATTGAGACATGGAGCGGCCTCAGCCTGCATGTATCGCTTCTGGAAACGTCGCGAGGTAAAACCGCTCTGGGGAAAAAGCATGGCAACTTCTTGCAAAACTAAATGCACAGCCATTTAAATCCGAGGGATTTACTCAAAGGAAATAAAAACATACGGTCACAAAATGACTTGTACGAAAAGGTTCCCAGCATTTTAATTTATAAGAACCCAAAACTGAAAACTGTGCAGGCAAATGGATAAATTGGGGTATATTCAGGGAATAGACAATTGAAAGAAATGAACTGTTGATATATACAAAAGAATGTACGAATCATGGACACGGACACTCAAAAGAAAAAAAAAAGAAAGAAAAAGAAAAACAAGATGAAAAGAGTCTCAATTCAGGCCAAATCTAACAGGACCAAGATGTTAGAATTACACACAAACTCTGAAGCAGCTTTTGTAATTGTGTTCAACGACACAAAACACTTGTAATAAATGAAAAATAGAATTTTTTCTAGAATAGACGATTAGAATAAAGAACACGTTGAACGCTTATGTGCTAAACCCTGTGCTAAGCATCGACCATAGATAATCTTATTCGGTTCTTAATGCAACCTCGTCTTACAAATGAGGAAACTGGAGTGGAAAGGATGGATTGTGCTAAGTCGCTTCGCTGGTTTGACTCATCGCACGATTTTTCGGGCTCCATAACTCACAGTAAAGTCACATAGAAAAGACAAAGTCCCTAGATACGTTTTAATTAACTTTAAAAGTCTGTGTTTCGGGAGAGGGGGGAGGGGGGAGGGGCTGTGCTAAGGAAAAGCATCCCAAGAAAATATCGAAGGAAACAGAAATTACTCGTCTGCCAGACCTGCAAGGCCGGCCTCACGGTCTTACCTTAGGGAACTGTTTTACGGGAATTAACACTTTCTGTCCCAGCTTCATGTTCTTATTAATCACCACATCAATGTACTTTTCTTCATCCTTTCCTTCTCCTTTTTGAAACTTTTCTATTTCTGTGGAGGAAAAAAGATAACCGTGAAGCGCAGGACGTAGAACTGTAGAGGCCGCGAGCTGTCGTTAGCACAGCTGTGGCATGAGACCACATGCAGAAATGTGGGCTAGTAGGTGGCTACGGTTTTTTCAAAGTAATGATGCATTTCCTGTTTTATCAATAATTCTTCACCAGTACAGTGGGGAAAAAATGCATATTCCATGGTCCTATATAGTCGAATCTCAATGGCTAATGGAGGGGAATGGACTATCTAACAAATACAGATGTAAAAAATAAGTTCCTCGGGGCCTTCTGGAACCCTGGAGAAAGGCTGATGGACCGAAGAGCAGAGGAAAGCCAGCTGGGACTACCGGCCCAGGGGCCCAAAGCACTGACACCCGCACTCTTCAGCCTGCTTGGCTCTCCGGGGCTCATCCCACCAAGGACCGATTCGACAGGACCCGTTAAAAGCCCCAGACGGCCTTCCGTCAGCCTGCCTCCCCAGCCAGGTCGTCCCTCCTCACGAGTGACACCACAGGCACGTGTCTTCGCTAATGCCCTTCTCTCCACCTGAGATGTTATTTTGATGATTTCGATTCCCTGCATCCCCAAGACCCAAGCGCATTAAACGCCACACATCTTGTGCGGCTGTTCCTTTCCTGGGCAGGTGGCAGGCGTGGCAGAGTCGGTCCCTCCCAGCCCCACACTCAGCAAGCACCTGATGCACAGCCCTACCGGAACTCTCTGCGGCGGACAGTGTTTGTGTCCCCAGCCCAATTCGTACACTGAAATCTTAACCCCCAATGTGATGGCATCGGGGGGCAGGGGTTGAGGGAGGTGACTAGATCATGAAGCTGGAGTCCCCATGAACGAGATGACTGCCCTTATCTAAGAGACCCCAGGGAGCCTTTTCACCTACCCTGCCATGTGGGGACACGGTGGGAAGACTGCATCTATGAACCAGGAAGTGCCCTCGCCTGATACCAAATTCACAGGTGTGTCGATCTTGGGCTTCCAGGCTCCAGAACCATGAGAAATACATGTCTGTTGTTTATAAGCCAGGGCCCCCGACCACCAGGTCCGTGGCCTGTTAGGAACCGGGCCGCACAGCAGGAGCTGAGCGGCGGGCCAGAGAGCGAAGCTTCATCTGTATCTGCGGCCGCTCCCCAGCAGTAGCATCACCGCCTCAGCTCCGCCTCAGATCATCAGGCATCAGGTTCTCATAGGAGCACCGGTCCCTGGTGCCAAACTGGCTGGGGACCGCTATTATAAGCCGCCCAGTTTGTAGCATTGTATGACAGCAGCCCAACTGGACTAAGATACTCTCTCAACAGAACATGAATTTCCCTTAGGTAACATCTGTTTCTTCATTCAACAGACACCTACAAAGCACCAACTATGTGCAAATTCCAGATCTTAGAAAATATTAGCAATACTGTTTCCTCACATTACTGCCTACAGCATCCAGCTGTACAAGAGGTACTTCAGCAGATGCCTGGATGACTGACTGCCGAATGAATGCATTCATGGACTGACCTCTCCAGACTGAAACCCGGACACCTGAGTCCTGAGGAAAAGAGTGAACGAATAACATGGAGTCACTATGGTCAAGCTGGAGAATTACTAAAGCCAGAGCAACTGAGGCGCGAGGCACGAACTCCGCCCCTGCTTTAACTAGCCTGGGAACTCAAACTTCTGAATTCTCCAGTTATGCCTGAAGACCGACAGACAGACAGATACATTAGAAATATAGATAGATATAGATAAATCCTATAGATAACCCTCTACTTATCTAGCCCCCGAAGGACTCAGAAAACAACGTTCACATCCAGACCGCCTGACATCCATTATCCAGATGCCCTACATCTGTAAGATTATCATCTCAGACCAACCCGGAAGCTAAGAGCAGAACTGAGTCTTCTCAAGAATGTACCTTTCACTATGAAAACTCAGCTGTCTTCTTTGGAGCACTCTGGGTATTGCCTAGTTGCATTTCTAATTTGCATACCCCGAGACCTTTGAATCAATATCATTCATTTCTCGCCAAAGCCTCCTGATTCGGTTAACGGTTCAAAGAAGGGTCCCCAAGCATGGAGATAACAGAGATGACATCAGCTGTATAAAAGTAGACACGTATTTATTTAGTTTGCTTGTCGAGCTAGGAATATTTAAGAATTTAACCTGTCACATTCATGACATAATTTAATCCTCAGAACAGATGACAAAAAGGAAGTTCGGAAAGGTGACTTCGTTAAGAAATGGCAAAGGTGGGATTTACACCCAGGTCTGTCTGACTCTAAGTATAGTCTGCCACTGCAGACTCGCCCACCATTTTTATGCCAGATCGGACAGGAAACGAGATTTTCATAGGACCTAATGATAAATGGAGGATGTGTTTAAAGCTGGAGGCTTCTGGCCTGAGGCTTCAGTCACCCCTGAAGAACCCCGCGGGCCCCGATGTCTCCTCTTAATAATTTTCCACCCACTGACACCCTCACTCTGCTCATTAGCTCTAAACCCCCAACTGTCTTTGCTGCATTCAGAACTGCGCCTGATCTCTCTCCCCCATCACATGTGACAGTCTTGACACATAGGACAGTGCTGAATAAAGCCTTCCTTACCATTTTAACAAGTGTCAGAATAACTTTTTCCTTTAACAACGCACGGGAGAAAGTCAGAACGTAGGTGGGGTGCAATGAAGAACGTGTACCTGGTCTTTGTCCCCAGTCCCTGACACAGAGCTCCTGGGACTTCCCTGAGTGGAAGGAGTCGCTTCTGCCATGCATAACAAGCCCCTTCGACAACACCTGAGTTTATGCTAATGAGGTGACTCTGTGTGATTAGAGGGTTGGAGCTTCCAGCACCCATACGTCCTCCCATCTCTGGGGAGAGGAGAGAAGCTCCGCGTCAAATTCAATCATCAGTGGACAATGACTTAACCAATCATGCCCACGTCATGAAAACGGCATAAAAACCCCTAAAAAAACAGAGGTGAAAGAGCTGCTGGAAATACCGTTAGCATAGTTAGAAGATTCAACAAAATTGGGTACACCGAAACTTCCTAGAAAAAAAGGGAAGAAATCTTAATGTATGCATATATTTGTCAAAATAGATTGAGCTGCCTATCTTCTTTCCAAATCACGAAGCGTGTTATGATTTTTGAGAACTTACGACACATGCGCAGTTTAACATTCAATTCCATCATCGGAATTTAAAATGTCACCCCTTGCACCAGTGACAGTCAACATGTGAAGTAACATGTAAGTAAAGTCGTACAGGTAAGATATTTAAAAATTAGAAAAACATACGTATTTTTACCGTACGTTAAAGTTTGAGATTTTTAAAGAGGAAATTAAAAAGAGAAAATATATATTAAAAAAACTAATTTCTTTTCTAGATAAACATCAACTTTGCAAATCATATGTTGCTAAAATACCTTGTTGTTCCCTTAAGCTTTGAGTTATGTTGAAATATAATATTTTACTATTTAATATTTATTTTTTTAAACTATAAAGCCTGATGTCATTAAAAACAGGTAGGTTTTCATGCGCTGGCCCTAATGCAGCGCCTGGCAGTGGAAGGGGACCCAAGGTCATCACTGGAGTCAAACGGACCTGGTTTCAATCACAGCCATTGTGCCCTCCAGCTATAAAATTCCAAACTGGTCAAACCTTTTCTTTCTTTCTTTCTTTCTTGGTTGACCTCACAGATTGCAAGGACCTTGTCAGATTACAATCCCTTATTTTTTTTATTTTTTACGCTTACGGCACCTGGTCTTCCTAGGTGGTCTCCCCATCCAAGTACTAACCAGGCCCGACCCTGCTTAGCTTCCGAGATCAGACGGGATCGGGCACGTTCAGGGTGGCGTGGCCGTAGACAAACCTTTTATTTCTTTAGGCGCCATTCAATCAACAATTCTGTATTTTCTACTTGACAGAGGATTATAAGTAGTTTGATGTTTCCATGAATTCCAACAAAATACAATGCAAAAAAAAAAAGTGTGGAGAGAGCACTGTACAAGACAATCTATAAGATCTTCGAACAGCCTTCTAGAATTTGTGCCGGTCTCGGTGGGAGTTTCCTGTTCCACAGCCCCTGCTCCCACTGCCTGACCTCGCCGAGGGGACAGAAGGCACCCGACACCGCCGAGGTGGACGTGGCCTTTCGGCTAATTGTAGCAAATGAAAGCCAACCTTAGGGAAAACCAATCGGGTTTTCAAGGTCGAACAGAGGGACTCTGGCTCACTAAGCCCCAGATTACACTTGTTAGCAGACAGTCGAATGCACCGAAGGCATCCCCCAGCTCGGAAATAATAAGCAAAAGTGGGATTAGGTTTTCGATAACGCAGGGGATTAAAATGCTATGTTTCCAAACCGTGGACGCCAATTTTCTGTCGACCCAGAAATCTAATGTCAGTTATAATGTCTTTTTTGGCTTTCGTTTTTCCTTTTCATTTTTTGTTTTTGTCTTGGTCCAGAACAGAGCTTCCTAAGTAATGGTCACTTACCTTTTTAGCCTACCAAATATATTAAAATCCACTAACCCTTTAAAAAGCGGCCAAATGACCTTTAGACTTAAATGAGTTAAATTTCCAATATAAAAAATTCTAATGTGTAAATTGTCCTTACAAATGCTCAAATTCTCTCACAGAATCAAGGACATCCAGATTGATATTTTTCCTTTGTCCCAGATGCTCCATTTCTACAAATTTACCCACTTGGACAGATATGAAATATTACGTACAAAGTTATCCATTTACAGCATTGTCTTTAATAGCAAAACCCCGGAAACATGTCAGCGTCCACCTATAGGAGCCTGGTTTCCCAGCCCACAGAAGACAGAGCAGAACACACAGCTACTTTACGAGGCCGAGAAACCATCTGTGTTCTGATAGGAAAAAGTCTCCAGCACACACACAACGTAAAACAGTATACGAATATGTGTTTATATTCACTTGTACATGCACAGGAGAACCTAGTAACAGTGGTTATCGGTTATCTAACTGGCATGGGGGAACGGGG